CGCCAGGTGCCCCGGTGGGTGACCGTCCTCTGCAGCTGCTGGCACCCACCTGAAACTGCGGCGGCTGAAGGACACAGGCCGGGCACGGCCCAGGCTAGGGTTTCAGAATACCTCTGTCTCCAAGGAGGAGGCATGCTGATTTCCTTCTTTTTTTTTTTTTTTAATTTAGTTTGAAATGTTTGGAAACTGATGGTTATAATTTCAGCTTATGCTATTTATGAGGACCGAGATCTAAATCTGTAAACTCACTGTCCCGGCTTTGCGATTCTTGAACCCTTTCAGGAGTGCTGCCAGCAGTGCATGAGTCTGCCTCTAGGAAAGCTGGTATTTGCTGCAGATGTGCACAGGATGGGCTTTTATTTTGGGGGTAAATGAAAAGCTGGAAATGAAACAAGAATGACCTAAAGGGACTGTGGAAGGGACAGTCATAGCAAAGCCCTGATTGGTGCCTGAAAGACAGTAAATGCCAACAAAACACTGGCCCTGGCAGGAGAAGGCACTGCCACGTGGTGCAGGCCTGCAGTGGGGCTGTGAAGATGCTCCTTTCCTGCGTGATGACCGATGACTTTGAAGTCTGTTGGAAAGAGGTAGCTTTCACCAGCTCAGCTCTGCAACGCCTTTCCCTGTGTTCATACATCCAGCCTAGGGCAAGCTCCTAGCTGTGTTAAATTCTCCAACTACTGTGCTGCGAAGAAGATGCTTCATTTTTCATATAAACATATCTGTGAATGTAAAGTAAGAGTAAAGCCTACATATTCGTAATTGATAACTTGTTAAAATCTTTTCCTTGAATTACATTTAAAAGAACAAATAATTATAATTTCTCTCAGGATTCCCCTAAACTCATTCTTTACCCTTCCTCAGAAGCCATAAAGTCAAGTATCACTAGAAAGAAGGAAAACATTACAGAACTTAGACTAGAATATTTTTCCCTGGTGATTTTTTAATAGCATTTTGTACTTGCTGGTTTGTGGCTTTGGCAGCCTTTTTTTTTTTTTTCTTTTTTTTTTTTTTTGTGCTGGCAGGTCAGTTTTTGACTAATACGCTGCTTCTGGCTCGCCACAGCAGTGCTGGGTGCAAACACGGAACCAGCTCTTTCGGGTGAGGCTTCCTAGTAAAGGCTCACGGCTAGACGACTCTTTTGCAGTCATTCTCCTGAAATGGCAGCTCACGGGCAGCAGGCCATGGGTGGAGCGTGGAGGGATGCTGGTGTCCCTTGGGCCGTGTGTGCTGTCTTGCGATCTGGCGCCCAGGTGTTAGAACACTTAAGCAGCCCGCAGCAGAGTATCTAGCACAACTTAGAAGCTATTTCCTTCAGCACTCTTGGCATAAAACCTGTACAGACTTATTTGCTTGACTCGATTTCTTTAGGAGCTTTTTTGCAGCTCCAAATGCATGTCAATAGCCCTGTTTCTAAATCAGGCCTGTTTAGAGGCAGCTGCCCTTTATCCTGTTACGTAAAGCAGTGTTTCTTCATAACAAGTCCGTTGGGTTTCAGAAGACGGGAAGCCTGATAAACAACTCAGGAGCATATCAGACCAGATGACGTGTGTCTTCCCTCACTGTAGCTATGCCGTTACGGTCTGAAGCACAAGATGCTCAGGGCTGCATCTCACAGCGATCCTGGGGGCTGAGCGAAGCTTGAGGGCTGCTCTGTAAATCACTGCTGCTCCTCTGGGACTCTGGTGTGGGGCACCAGGGCATTTCCTGAGACCCCCCCCCTCCAAGCCCCGCACGCGCCGTGGTGCCTCGCAAACAGAAGCGCAGAGAAAGCTCTCACAAACTCAGGCCGCGGGGAAGAGGGACACTCCGGCCCATTGCTCTGCTGGGCACCTGCATCTTCCTCCCCATGACGAAGGAAGGAAGCAGGGGGGCAGGAGCAGCCAGGATGAAGGGGCGTTAGGTGTGACATCTTCTCCTTCCCCCTTACCTGCACTTACTGCAGTAGGCTGGTATGATAGGTTGGCTTATTCCCAGCACGTGATGCATTTTCCCTCCCCTTCCCAGGGCTGTGTTGGTACTGCAGCAGGAGTTGGCCACACGTAGGGCTGGGCCTGAGTCGGAGACGCTGCGGTGTCGGGACCCTCCTGGATCCTTTGATCCCGCAGGCTGCAAGGCGGCCGTCTCTATGCTTTGCGTTTCTTCTTTGCTGTTCCCCTGGCACCCAGGCTGCCTCATGCGGTGGTGCTGGGGAAAGCAGAGACAGTTATTTTGCTCATTTAGGCAGACCCAGGGGAAATCTGGGGCTTGTTCTCCTTTGTAAAGTCACAGACAGATCTAATATGCAACACAGTTAAGTGACTCCACTCCAGTGGGGTGGAAAATGAAATGAACCTCGATCACGTTCGGCTTAGCAACAGTTCCTCGCTGAAAAGGAAGCTGATCTTCAAGGGCGACTTCTCCCCACGTTTCTGTGGCAACACCAAGAGACCAGCCTTTCTTTTGGGCATAAGCAGGAGAGGAGATGCTTTCCACCCTAGGGCAGCCTGGCACAAGCTAGTGGCCAAGTGGGGTCGCAGGTTACTGCTTGCTTTTATTCTAAACAAATAGTGACAGGATAGTAAGAGCAGGGGCAGACTTTGGCGTACCAAGTGGGCTTAACAGCCCTGTCTCTGAGCTGGGCTGACCAAAATGCTTGTGTCTGGTTGAGTGCTACCCTATTGCTGCGGTGGGCGCTGGGTGAGCGGAGCGCGGCGGTGCAAGGCAGACGGCGGCCCCTTCCCCTTGTCCGGAGTGGAGCTAACTTGCATCGGCTCAGGACGTGGCCCACTGCCCTGGGGGAAGGTGCAGGGAGAGGTCCACTTGGCAGCGTTTTCCTGGACAAGGGCAGGGGTGGGAAATCAGAGCCCTTCTGGAGGGAGCAGCGCCCAGCGGGGCTGACACTGACTATGGTACGTCACAGCAAGGGCAGCGCAAAAGCAGCCTGTTGCGGTTTTTGGGCAGCCAATGAGCCCTGAGGCTTTTGATTTCAGTTCCCTTAAATAAACCGGAGCAGCTATGGAAAGCACAGGCCTCCAGGAAGCTGCTGCATCAGAAAAGCCACAAAAGCTGCTTCTTGCCTTGGCTCTGCTGAGCTGGGCGCCGGCGGTGACGGCTCCGGACCCGAGGTGGGCATAGCCACCACCGGGAAAACGCAGCTGCCGGAGCGAGGAGGAGGAGGAGCGGCAGGAGCACGGGGCCTCCTGCCCGGCGTAGCGTCCTTGCCTGCCTGCGGACTTTCTTATGCCAGGGCAGATGAAACGGGTCCCACTGAGCAAAACCGTCCTTCGAAAATGGAAATATAAGGAACTGCCAGACTTGATTCCCTTCTGCCTCCTTCCTGGTTTATTTTTGTGCAACATCATCTAAAGTTTGTGAAATTGCACAGCTGGGAAGGGAGAATCGACTTGAGAAAACGGGCCAGAGCTTTCCCAGTGTCTTGGCAAACGTGTTCAGCGTAGGAACGTCTTGCTGAAACACGTGACCGCCTTTCAGTATGAGTAAGCCTAGGAGGCAGACGTGATGAAAGGGAATCAAATGGTATAGAAACGAAATTGAGAGTAAGAGAAAGGAAACTAACTTCTTTTTTTTTTTTTCCCCCTCTGAACTCGGTTATTTGTGCTGAATCAGGTTCAAGCTATTTTTGTGTCTCCCT